CCTCCAAGGATAATTCTCACCAAGTAAAAATAATTTCCTACAGAAAGTTGTCAAAATATACCCAAAAGTGTTATTTCCCTATATAAACTATAGTAAACTTTACCCCCTCCCCAAGGGAGAACGGATAGCTCGGGGGTCCTGAAATTTACAATTTAAGTAAAGCCCCTGATGATCTTTCTTTCCACATAGAGAAAATCACTGTAGTACCTCTGAGTCTTGAGAAGAAGATTTTTGAAATATTTATTAATTTTCCCTTTGGGGCCCGGTGAGCTCAGGTGACCTAAAAAGGTGGGAGTGAAATGAGAAAAAGGTGGGAGTGAAATGAGAAAAGGTGGGAATGAAATGAGAAAAAGGTGGGAGTGAAATGAGAAAGAGCGTAGAAACATGAAAGCTTTACATCAAGTTGATGGAAGCATACACACCACTTCTTGGACGATCAACTTAGAGTGTCCACTGATTATCTTAAAGTGGTTTATTTACGCGGGTTTAAATTTTCATGATTTTTATCCAGAATTAAATTTACACAGATTATAATTTCGCTAACCAAGACATGTGTGGAACAAAATGTTTGCTGTGTTTTAGCAAAGAGACCGGACATTCAGCATATAAAGTGTCATATAGTCAAATAAACGGACATTCAGCATATAAAGTGTCATATAGTCAAATAAATAAGGTTTTTTAAAGCATATTGAGCAACAACGTTAACAAGTAAGTTATTTTGTAAAACAATNAGATTATAATTTCGCTAACCAAGACATGTGTGGAACAAAATGTTTGCTGTGTTTTAGCAAAGAGACCGGACATTCAGCATATAAAGTGTCATATAGTCAGATAAATAAGTTTTTTAAAGCATATTGAGCAACAACGTTAACAAGTTATTTTGTTAGACAAATCATCACCAGAACTATTAGATGTATGATGTAACCTACTCAAACATCATTACTGTTTGTGTATAGGAATCGCCACAACCACATACACACTACATCACCAGGACTATCAGATGTATGATGTAACCTATTCAAACATCATTACTGTTTGTGTATAGGAATCGCCACAACCACATACACACTACATCACCAGAACTATTAGATGTATGATGTAACCTACTCAAACATCATTACTGTCTGTGTATAGGAATCGCCACAACCACATACACACTACATCACCAGAACTATTAGAGGTATGATGTAACCTACTCAAACATCATTACTGTCTGTGTATAGGAATCGCCACAACCACATACACACTACATCACCACAACTATTAGATGTATGATGTAACCTACTCAAACATCATAACTATTTGTGTATAGGAATCGCCACAACCACATACACACTACATCACCAGAACTATTACATGTATGATGTAACCTACTCAAACATCATAACTGTTTGTGTATAGGAATCGCCACAACCACATACACACTACATCACCACAACTATTAGATGTATGATGTAACCTACTCAAACATCATTACTGTCTGTGTATAGGAATCGCCACAACCACATACACACTACATCACCAGAACTATCATACGTATGAGGTAACCTACTCAAACATCATAACTGTTTGTGTATAGGAATCGCCACAACCACATACACACTACATCACCAGAACTATTACATGTATGATGTAACCTACTCAAACATCATAACTATTTGTGTATAGGAATCGCCACAACCACATACACACTACATCACCACAACTATTAGATGTATGATGTAACCTACTCAAACATCATTACTGTCTGTGTATAGGAATCGCCACAACCACATACACACTACATCACCAGGACTATTAGACGTATGATGTAACCTACTCAAACATCATTACTGTCTGTGTATAGGAATCGCCACAACCACATACACACTACATCACCAGAACTATTAGAGGTATGATGTAACCTACTCAAACATCATTACTGTCTGTGTATAGGAATCGCCACAACCACATACACACTACATCACCAGAACTATTAGAGGTATGATGTAACCTACTCAAACATCATTACTGTCTGTGTATAGGAATCGCCACAACCACATACACACTATATCACGACGATCTTTATAGCGGCTAATTTTATGCTTGTCCTATTATTCTACTGATCATATTTTCGCAACTACATTATTGACCCGGGAAATGTTATCCCTGCAGAAATATATTGCTATACAGTAGATTCATGAGTCCCCTGCAAACATTGACCAAACGATTCACCCCCTGTAATCTTGAAGCCTATTTTTCACCATCTTCCAGCATTACAGGTTTATGATGTAATCCACAGGACTTTACTGTCTTTCCCATTGGACCAGTCTTAGAATTTAGGGTTTACACACCATAGACAATAGATCTAACTAACATATACATATCTTGTACACCTACTGAAATTTGCATTGACTAGACTATGACCAAGCAAATGTTACTCACTTATTTAGTACTTGGTATCATGAGATTAAGAAAACCCCTGGGCATGAAAGAGTATTTTTCTCCTATTCCAACTACCAGAATAAGCTTAGAAATCATGAACATGTGTTTTGACTAGCTATCATTTTGAAAATACTAACTTTTCCTCTGAATTTTTTTTGATGAAAACAAATCTGTCAACAAGTAAGATTTATATTAGCATACACCATACCTGCAAACATAGCTTGCACTGAAAAATATAATCACATCTTTCTAACTTGTACAGTCAATGTAAAATGAAAGGTTTTATTTTCATCATGTACCCTTTTCCGCATTGCAGCATCAGACTTTTCCAAATTCATGGTGTCATATGTCATTCTTGAGTGTTGAGTAATTGTGATGTCACGTCACGTGACACGGGGAGGGGAGTATATAGTAAGAAATTACTTACACACCTTTCATACCCTTAACAGCTCTATCGTATACACACAGAAATGAGACAATAAAGCTTCTTCAATCAATTGAAAAGCAGGCCTCCCTATCTCCCTACTAGCTTTTCTGTGCTAGTACTGCTGGTGTTGGAGTGTGGTGATGGTGATTGTAAATAGTAATCCCCAAAAGACCATGATGGTTGGTAAGGTGGTACAGGTGAGTGGGGGTGTCGGGGAGGTCTGTGTAATCGTCTGGATCATAGGTACTGGCCTCCTCTTTCATTACCCCTATAGTATGAGTTGGTGTAGTGGTACAAGCTGCAGGTATTTCTAGGCTAGGGAATTGGGTTCTGTAGGTCAGGAGTTTGAGGCTCGGACAGGGCACAAATCATATAATTATCTTCCTTTGTCAGTTGTGGTTCCATATCATTTATAGTATAAATTATAGGTGCATTGACATTGACAAAGGGCTAGTACCTGTTGTTTCACTATTGAGAGTACACCTTCGAAGGAGGAATTTCCATTATATATGTAGCAGAGGTCAATATTTTTCATTGCCTCCGCTAGGAGTCGAACCCAGGACCTCTGGCTTACCAGTCTTACGCTCTACCGAATGAGCTAAAGAGAAATTCTCCCTAGCCGAGACGGTAGGAAACAGTTAGTATTTTACGAGGGTGACATATATTTGAAAAGGTTAGATACAACGGCGCACATGGGTAATAACCCTCCGTTTGGGTAGCAGCTACTGTTTTGAGTAACACTTTCATTACTGCAATGGAAAATAAATAAGGATTGAACAGATTTTTCAATTTCATGCTGGTGTGAATGCAAATTGGTTACATACATATTCCATGAAGCCCACGATTTAAAACTGATGACTTAACTTATGGAATGTAGCAGCTTTTGGTGATAATAAGGGTGGATTTTGATCAATAATCAACATGTACATGTCATAGTAGAATTTAGTTGTCAGCACCTCAAAACTTTCCTACACCAAATGGTGTCAGATAATTCCAGGATTTCATTTAGTATTCTAGTGTTCTTGCCCCAAACCAGACATCAAAATATCAAAATGTCCAAGTCTGGTGTTAAGGCCAGAGCTAGGCACCTCGGGCTAGAGGAACTTGCAGTGGAAATGTAAATATAGTGAAATGAAATCACATAATTTCTTTTTAAGAATTATGAACAAATAATGTGTCATTCTATCAACATAATCCGATAAATGATTCTCAAATGTGTAACTGTTACCAAAATGCAGGATTATTTCCCGTATGCTCTGTCGTGCCCAACCTGTTGAAATTAATGAAACCATTACATATGGCGGACAGGACATTAAGTATGAGACATTTGCATTTATAAAATAACTGATCATACTGTACCTTTAATTACTACAACAAGTGTGTGAGACATATCTGGGTGAAGCACATTACTGCATTAGGTCTACATTTCCTTGATTCGAATGATTCAATCAGTCTCGTGTTTCGTTATGTCACGTCTTCCTCCTGACAAAAACACAAGTGGAAAATTTGTACTTTCGCTTTTTAATTCTGTGAATTCTACTTTCATTTTCGATTGTTAAGAAATTGTATTTGATAGTAAATTACACATTTAGGTGTGACATTTAACGACAATACATTTTATCCTAAATGAAATCTAAGTCAACATTCCATCTTACCTACACGTGTGTGCTGCTGCATTAATCTGCATCATCAAGAATCTTAGTTCTGCTTGAGGAATTCCCACCCGAGCGTGACGTCGATCTCTTGACCAATTTTTACCGAGTGAAAAATACCGCTTGACAGTTGTGTTTAAATGGTTTATTTGCGGACGAGTTATCTCATATACTGTATATGTGCTATATTACCTTAAGCTTTGTCTTTTTAGTGTGGACAGACACAGCAATAATTATCTCTTTTCAGCTGATAAATCTGTATTTGTAGTCTACCGGAAAGGCCTCAAATCTTGAGTATAAACTTCCGGTTTGGAGGAGTGTAGCATTTAAAGTTTATGGTGATTTTAGTCGTTGTTTAAAATATTCCAGGGTTTCAGTTCACACAAGCGTTGTTAGGTAGGGAATTCTCTAGTTGTTCGTCGAAAGAATGAATTCCTATAGAGTTATGTGTAAGTAACTTGCTGTTTAAAATTCAGACTGTTCTTAGTGCGCACTCGCGATCGTGTATTTGTGTTTGGATGTAGATGTTGGTCCACAGGTATAGCCACTAGTCTCTGCTCACTTATTAAGATCCTTGCAAATGTATGTTAGTAGGATTCAAATGACTAAAAATCGGTTCATAGGACATGGAATGTAATTCCAACAGTGTAAACAATATGATGACAATTTTTCGAAGTGCTCGGCAATTTCTTACCCATGTTTAAAAGTACCAGAGATCATCAGCTAAACTAAAGATTACGTACATGAACATAGTCGTTGACTGTGTTAAATGGATGAGATTTCATTCGAAACATTTAAATCTGACTTGTATTCAACTTATTATGACACACCTACCTAGTTTATCATTCGCCCCTTTTTTAATTTTCTTTATTATTTTACTACATCCAGTATACACGAGTTATTTCCCTTCCACCGTTACCTTAGAGTAAATACTCTTACGTGGACGGTTAGGGCCATAATAAAAATTAAATCCTATGATTTCGCTCCCTCGACCTACGGCGAAAACGACGGCGAGGGAGCAAAAAATTACAGCGAAGGAGCCGTCGTGTTTTTGCATTAGTTTTTTTCTCTGAAACGGGCTTAGAAAAACCAAATCAAGAATGATAATGATAATAATATTTATTCAGGTAAAAGGCAGATATAATACACGTATATCACATTTTGCAGATTGGACATAAATATATAAATTATCACAGAGGTCATTTTGAGTTATTTTTGCCATATAGGGTTGGTCGGATTGACCACGGTGCCCAACTTGCCACGGTTTCCCTTACTTTTCAGCATTTGGGACCGTCTTAGTAAGAAAAGGATAACCATTCTAAGAACAAGTGCTCAGTGCCTCAACCAAGTTTGTCTACTTCAGTAAGCATGTCCCTATGAAAACACAAGGTGAAATAAGTCTTGCTCCTCCCTCGCCGTCGTGTTTTCGCCTCAGGTCGAGGGAACGACTCGAGATCACAAGATTTTTAATATGACCCTAACCGGTAAAATATGTCTACCACCAAATGAAATAAGTCATGATTAAAATTGAAGGCTCTAGATTTGTTTGTGCTATCTTGTGGATCCTCTAATTTGATGTCCATCAAAAGAGATGCGTAACGGTAAAAATGACCGGTTTGAAGTCGGGCGTAGCTGCTGTAATCTTCAAAAGGCAGGTACACGTACTCGCGTGCCTTCACGGATCAGTTTGCGCCACATTGTGGATAGACAAGAACAATGGTTTGATATTTTACTGGCTTTGTAGTTGGATGTCGCTTCTCTTGTACGATCTTGAAATGGCATGTATCCGCCTAGCGATTGGTCAGGTGTTTTTTTAAACCTAGGATCAATCAAATAGATTCTAGGGGTACAGAGAGCGTATGTAAGCGTTACCCCTGCAGTATCGAGGATGATGATAATTGTGAATAAAAAGAAATAAAACAACAGACAAAAGATCTTGCAAGTGTATGGAACCCACATAAAGTTAAAGACACTGAAACAATTGAAGAGGTACAGCAAAGGGCAACGAAACTAATACCTGGGCTGAAGGATCTTTCCTTCAGCGACCGTCTTAAGAAATTAGGAATCCCAACACTGACATACCGAAGAATGAGGGGAGACAATTATAACCTAGCTAGCAGTCAGGCGTTGTAGTCAAACGTTGGGCCAACGTGACACACAATGTTGGCCCGAAAACGGCAGCCAACGTTGGCCGGACATACGTTTGTCAATCGTAGTGAAGTTGGCTTGATGTCAGACCTAAGATTCGCTGTCAGCGTATGTAATATAACGTTGGGCGAACGTCAGTACGTCGGTGGCCTAATGACGGGTACCACATGTGGTGCATGAATGTAACGTTGGGCCGACGTCATTACATCGATTGTCCAATGTCAGGTGCCGACAACAGCGGTCACAAGTCGGTACTATACGTTATGTAGGAGATGTGACAGTGGCTACAATAAAAAGATGTCAGAGTGATGTTATTACCATTTTAACACAATGGACAAGTATTTCTTGATGACACACTCAAAATCAATTTACAAGTTGAATTAGTTTAATGAGAATAGTGTTGCATGAAGCGAATCTGTATTTTTCGTTTGCTGTAACTAAATAATTGCACAACGTCAACAATTCAAACACTAATATAAAAATAAGAGGTAATCTATGTTTGTATTTGGTCGCTGTTGCATGAGAAACGCGGGCCCCCGACTTTAATCTCATGTTTACAATTTCATGTGCATCTAAAACATTGAAGATATTAAATTCATGAATATTATGATTTACTGCTGTATCCTCAATATTCTGCACTTTAAACAACAATAATTGTGGTAATAATTTATCAAACGGTAGGATCACATACCATATATCCTGCTTAGTATACTATACGTGTCCCGTTTTGAGATACAGTGATGGTAGCATCTTTAATCGAGTCAACATCTAGAACAAGAGGACATACACAAAAAATAAAGAAAAAGATTGTTTATTAGATATCAGGAAACATTTATTTAGCTACAGAACTGTTGATATATGGAACAGTACTAGTCTTCCTGAGGCAGACATACAGACTACATCAATTTTAAAACACTCCGAAATTAGTTTGGACAATCATTGGAAACATTTTGAACTAAAATTTAATCACCTATGTCGCTACAAATCTAACAACGGGGGTGATTTTTTAAATTAAATTTGTTATATTATATCATATGGACACAGCGACAAGTAATTGCTTGGGTCCATCATCTATCCTACTAGATCCTACAATGTAGATCCTATTAAGTGACTAGTTTGTATTCTATAGACATCCATCGCCTGCCTGTCGGAGAGAGGGGTAACTGACCATAAAATTGTACCATTATCAGTGATATTTAACCTCTTTTGTAGATACTTAGACACAACTTGTCATAACAATTTGCCAGTTTTACAATGCCTGTTTACTATAGGGAATTGTGTATACCGAAATATCAACGAAACTAATTCTCAAGCTTTCACTACAATTCTTATAAAGAATCAATGGAAGTATTGAACGATACAAACTTGACTGTTTTACTCTTACCACCCCGATGACAAGGTTTGTCACATACATTACTTCTTATATCGAGCGAGCTAATATTTCAATGTCACTATGCAGTAAACTTAAATCCAACACGTGGCATTGATTTCCTGTATAGAGTAAAAGATGTGATGGGCCCGTATCTCATTTTCATACTGAACGTTTTTGTTCATGTATGAGTAATTCTTTGGTCGGTTTGTGTTTCAACGAGGATCTAGTGTTGCCTGACGCTGCTACCCCGTCTTTTCCATTATGTATAGAAATTCTCCATCGGGTTCAGATAACTAATTCAGAAACTGCTACAGAAATTAATATCTAGATTTGTAAGACTCGACTAATCAATCAGTAAATTCGACAAAACCGCGATGTATTGGTGCTCACTGATATATATATATGTGAGGATACAAGAAGTTACATATCTAGTCTTTGATCCACGGAACCAGACCAATGAAACTAGATCACCTAGCCGACGATAGAAAGCACACTCTTGTAGGAATCAGTGTGAGAGGTTGTCACATGTTAGGTAGATAAATCAAAGGAGAGCGTTCAGATTTCAGCTTCCATTTTTTTTATTTTTCCCGGCTCATAACTACATACAAAACGGAGAGTACAGAATATCCGGATCTGAGTTAATTATAATTTTTGAGATGGACTGGACAATATATCCGGAATTTTACATTATTGTAAGAATGTAATTTTATTTAAATGTAATTGATTCAGATTAAGCTATTAATGCATTTTCCATGTCAGATAACAAGAATACAACACTCTATAGGGATGCTGCTGACACTATTTCTAGTTTAGCGCGGCTGTAAATGTGTATATAAACAAGCATGTTCATGATGACGTATTTCCAAATAAATTGATTAAAATCAGTAGTTAATCACTCAACTCTCCTTGTAAGCCCCAAGTGACCAAACTGGCCCTTAATTCCTGCCGCTCAACTAGCATCGTGGATTGACCCGTTCTCTCCAGCTGGTCACAATTGTTTTTCTATGGGTTAATGTTGAAATTGCCGCGTTCCAGTTTGCATTCATTTTGACTTTGAATGTCAACTGAGAGGTATTCAATGCTTCACTTAACCTTTTTTAAAGAATCCCTGCTTTAAAAGATTACTGAGTATAAACAATGTACAAAAATACAATTTGGCATCCCCCTTCCCCGCTTAAGACAGAAGGGGACACAGAAGGAGAACAAGGACTCACTGAGAGACTGCCAGTAAACTGATTGTGAAGGGACTTTTTACAATTTGGCCGAAAATATCCATAGGTATTCAACTTCGAAGTGTGGCCTCTATGGAGCTGTTAGAGCACGATTTCTCACCCGACACGATTTCTCACCGGGTGAGAAATCGTGCTGAAGTTGCTGCGTTCGCAACACGATTTTTCATTCCGACACGATTTCTCACTTGGGTGAGAACTCGTGTTAGGAGTAGGAAAATAAGGGGCAAGTGTGTAAAAGAATAATTCTTTAACTCACTTAAGGAGTGATTCTGTCTACAAATGTTGTAACGTGGCGTTTCTGGCTGAAAGGGATGGACCAAATACTGTATAAATAAAGGATGTGGCTTCAGTTTCGTGGGAAACAGATGGGTATAGGGGTCCACCGTCCGGCAGATAGGAATACGCTGAGAGTGAACAGTCCTGACCAGGAAGTATCTAGAAATACTTGTCAATGCTGACGTCAAGATCATAGGGATGAATCCGGGCCTATGGTTAGGTCGTATGACGCTTTTATTTTAAAATTTTGGATTTTGCCCGACGATGACTTGTTAATTCGTGTGTACATGTAACGTCATCGCAAAGCTCAAGTCAAAGAATATAAGACGGTGCCTATGGAGACACAATCGGGAACCGTCGGCATTTTCCGTGAACGGTACAATGTATGTTTCGTTTCCGATTGTATATGGAGACAGCGCGGAAAAGAAAATGGGGGGAAGGCAGATAAGAAATTATATATATCCTAAGTAATGCGATGAGACAGCAGATCAATTTTGATTTCTTTAATGTATTTTACGCCTAAATCCCCGATTCTGAGGTGGTCCCCAACATTAATCACCTCTACCAGTAACCTGCAGTGGGGTACAGCTCGCCTGTTCACTCCCTGAACCTTCAAGGACAACAGTAGTGTATTTTACAGAAGACATAGAAACATTTTTTATA